AATAGAAGAAAGTGAACCTGACCAAGATATGAAAGGTATTTTTTTTCTTCTTTCTGAGCTACCTCTTTGTAAATGTATGGCTCTTCTTAATTGTTTATTTTGCTGGCCTTATAAACAACCCGAAAAGTTTTAATTCTGTCAAAAATAACAATGCATGAGGACTATTACATTATAGCATTTAAGAGTGTTATTAGATGGGTTGATTCATTGTATGTTTCTTCACCATTTACATTTCATTTATTTAGTTAGTTTTATTGAAAAGTCAGATTTACAGAAAGAAGGAGAGACAGATGAAAGATCTTCCATCTACTAGTTCAGTCTCCAAGTGACTGCAATGTTTGGAATTGAGCCAGTCTGAAGCCAGGAGCCAAGAGCTTCTTTCATTCTCCCATGTGGGTGTAGGGTTCCAAGGCCCTGGATCATCCCCAACTGTTTTCCTAGGCCACAGGCAGGGAGCTGGTTAGGAAGAGGAGCAGCCAGGATTAGAACTGGTGCCCATATGGGATCCTGGTGCATGCAAAAGGAGGACTTTAGCCAGCAGGCTACTATACTGGGCCCTACCATTTACATTTCTTGAGGAAACATTCAGTCAACAAAAATACTTAAATTTATAGTCCCAAATTCTGGAAATACAGAATAAATGAAATAGAATAAGTCATAATAGGAATTCTACACAGATTGGAAAAGAATCACTTTTTGGCTAGAAAGATTTCTCTCTGTGCAGAAGAGCTGCAGTGTTTCGAGAAGTGCTAACATGTCAAGGCGTTAGCTTGGGTTTCTAATGTTTTGCTTTCAATAGCATGAGGGGAATTAAGCAATTGTTTTCAATCAATAACATTAAATAATTACATTTAAACTGCATTAATATGTACATATTTAGGGGACTATGTTTATAGGAAAGCAGTTAACAATTAAACTTATTTGGGAACAATTTTAATGGAGAAAAGAGATTGTTGTCTTATATCCTGACAAAGCCCAACACTTTGCAATCTTCTAAATAAATTTTTGGTATTTTGAGGATAAAACTTAGAAATTCCCACATAGCACAGCTTAATTCTACAAACTGATCTCAGGTCAGCATTGTTTAAAACTGTAACCCTTTGCCTTCGTCTCTCTGATAAAGCACAGACTGAGTATTCCTCATTTGCAAGGCTGACCAGAAGTGCTTCAGATTCCGAGATTTTCAGACTTCCGAGTGCAAGTATTTATGTAGACCTTACCAGCTCAACATCTCTGATCTTAATCCAAAATCATGTGGTGTGACAGCTAAGGTTTTAATATTAGGGGCACTCAATCTGTATTTGGAATATTTCCTCCTTCTATATACCAGATTTCTTGCAGCTAAAGGCAATAGAAAAGCATTTCAGTTGGTTCTTTCATACTTATTTAATTTGCTACGGCATGTTGTTTTTGGATCAATGTCCTAGAATATATTTACAATTTGTAACTCTCACCAAAATAATGTGTACATTGAATTACATGTATGATTATTATTATGGGTTAATTATTACCCATGCTGGTCAGTGTGGCTGTTATATTTAATGACAACTGGCTTCACTGTTACAAGTGCTTGATAAATGATTTCTCTTTTTTCATATTTGGGACCGATAAGTATAACTGAGTAAAAATCTATCACTATATTACCAGTAACCCTGGCTTTAAAAGAAGATGTTTCTGCTTCATCTAAGAACTATACTAACATAGCTTCTTTTTCCTCATCTTCCTCACTAGCTACCCAGATGATTGCCTTTCATTTGCAGTGGAGAGAAACTCTGTCAGTCCTTTCGTGCTTACTGGCTTCCTGTCTGTACTCTATCCTTTCTCTCTTTTTAAAGATCTCATTCTCTCTTTTTAAAGATTTTTTTAAAGGCACTTTACCAGAGAGAGAGAGGGTGGGGAGAGGCAGAGAGGGAGATATTCCATGTGTTGCTGCTTCACTTCCCAAATTGCCATAATGTCCAGGGCCAGGCCATTCGAAGGCCAGAAGCTTTTGGGTGGATATAGGAGTCCAAGGACTTGGACCACATTAAGCTGCTTTCCCACCTCGTTAACAAGGAGCTGAACTAGAAGTGGAGCAGCCAGGATCTGAGGTGTCAGCTTCACTACCTATGCTACAACAGAGGTCCCCTCTGCTCTTCTTTTTCTTATTCAGCATAGTTGGGGAAAATGCTAATGTGGAGAAGGGCTGAGATACTTAGGGTGAGCTTCGTCGAGCTCATCAGAGAAGTCACTCATACGTTGACTGATTCACTCATTCATTCATTGATGCAGAAAATATTTTTGAATGCTTACAGGCACCCAACAAGGGTAAGGAGGATGAGAATGAGAAGGGATTATAATAAGGACATCTTTGAATAGAAAGCAGCAATCTGTGAACTCTTTGGAGAAGTGAGCAAGAGAGAGAAGGCTGGAAGTCCTTTTTCAATATTGGATAAAGGGAGGAGAGAATGGGGAAATTTCAAGAGATGTCAACTTCTCCGCAATATCTCTTATATGTATTAATCCATTGCCCTTTACAGTGAAACTCATAGCCAACCAAGGGTCTATCTAATTCCTTTGTGGAGGAGATCAACAGTTTATCAACACCTCACACTCATGGAGCTAGCTGTCATGCTGATAGCAACCCATTCTATACCGTTATATGCCCTACTGAAGCCACCTAGCAGTTCTGATAAAGTCAGCATGTTAAAGGCAGCATGTTAAATTTTCTCTGAAATCATGCTGAACCTAGAGTAGAAATAGCTCTCCATTTCATTATGATTTCACAGTTATGCTTAGCTGGGATTGTGCAATATCATCACAGATATTGTAACAAACCTAAATGGTGTTCTGACTATTGTCAATATCAGCCAAAAGAAACAAACCGTAAATTAAAATAAAATAGACTTTGCCTGCTTACTGAATTTCCAGGAAAAATTTCAAATCCCCAAATTCAAACCTTTGCCTTTATAAATTAAAGTGGGAAAAAAAAACTAGATTTCACTCGTACCCAATAACTTTGCTCATCTTTAGCCAGAGACTCTCATTCATGTTAAAGGATCCAGTAAACATTATTGGAACACATTTCTAACACCTTTCAGATTTGTAATAATCCAAGTCCAAGTGTGTCAAGAATTCGGTTGTCTCGGATTCTCAGAGCCAATGAGATCCGTAACAGGTTCATGCAGTGATCTTAGAGTTTAAAAAAAATTAGCCCCAACCTGTGAAAGCTATTTCAACAACATGATGCACATGAACTCACACAGAGCATACAGTCCACGTTTCTATTATTATTATGAGAGAACATTAGTAAAGGAGAACATCCGTGTGCATCTTTATTAGAATACCGGTCAAGTCTGTCAGTTGTCAACAACCTGAGTCAGAGCCCACAAACTCTGAGCTTAGACTAAGTTGGAAGAATGACTCCAAAGAGAAGTACACATCACATTTTGATGATGTGCCTCTTAAATCTCATTTCATCCACAGTAGATCAGCATCAGTAGATCATACATAATGCTATGTATTTGAAGAGAGTAATTTGACTGTATTTGATGGCACTGCATCCCCACTGATCCTTTTGATGGCTGCCAGATTCCAGGATTTTCCTAAAAGCAAGCTACATTTTGCTTTTAAGGAAGGAGATTCAACTTTACCTTAAACATTGAATGCCAGGTTCAGCAGTTGTCTTGCAACTGCTCTGTTTCCTTGAAAATAGCACCTTTTTAGGATCCAATTTCTGTATGCCTAAAATATTCTGTGTTTTAGAGCTTTCAAGATCACAAGAATTCAAATTAATTAAAATCTGCACAGAGCAGACAGTTATCAAACACACCATGTCCTCATTTCCTTGAATTATGACAGTCTATAACAACTACGCTTCTGTTACAGGTCACAAATAGCATGCCATTGCCGTACATATTCCCTGTCTGCTGAATGCTACATCCTCATACATTACTTCAGAATTCAAGCTCTACAAATTTCTGTTAACCGGGATAGCTAATCTTCAAAGGATAGTGTCAACGAGGGCCATTTGAAAATCTTGTTCTCTGTTTTATTCATAGGAAACAAAAGGCAGGAACCTAAAGTATTGATTGCTTATCAGGCAATCAAAAATGTTTATAATAAAAAATTAAATTTGAAATTAGAAGATCTGAGTTCATATTTCTTATCCATCATTTTTATTTTCTTGTTAAAACACACTAAATGGCACTCAGCTTTCTTTAAAATCGCTTTCAAGTTTAATGAATCAGTAATTCCAAGTATCCTTTTGTGCATTCTGAACTGCAAACCTAGTTAAAGGTAGGATATCTTTTCAAGTCTAAAGAAATACTTTTTAATCAGTGGGGATTCAGCCTCCCAAAGGAATATGAATTCCTCAAACTTTTCCATAACTTTGCCTAAAACAGTCTGTTATTTGTATCACTTCATTCACTGAAAAGCTATTGTCTGCATATAGTATAATTGAAGGTGTAAAGTATTAACTGTTTCATTAATTCAATAAAATTTTATCTTGGGTTTGGGGCTCTGTTTGTTCAGAAATTATCCTAGGTATTAAAAAACAGTGGAGCCTTTTGGTTTCCCATACTTTAAAAGGGAAGCAACAAACATATAAAAAATAAATCAGATTATTTTAGATAGAGAGATGGTCTGTCAAGATAACAAGATGATGAAAAGCTAATGAGTGTAGCTTATAGTGTATGTTTGAAAATTTAGGAGGGTCCTTGTAAGGAAATGTCATTTAACTAGAGACTTAAATAGAGACACAGGAAACCTGCAGTGTACAAACGAGGGGTGAGTGGTCCAGGCAAAGGACAGCCTCCTTCACTGGAAACAAGCTCACCATGTCCTTGGGTGGTGAGAAAACTTAAGATCCCAGCATCAAGGCTTTTGTTATTTTCCTTGGCATTTGGCACATGGAATTTGTTATTTTCCTTAAGACATAGGGACACGTGGTGAAAATAGTAATTTTCGAAGACCAGTGTAGTTTGGCCATTCACTCATTGCTTCTGTCTTTCTAACAGTTTTTGCCAGAATCCTGCGGGCTCCTGAATCTCACAATGCCACCTTTGGCTCCCTTGTGACCCTGCGCTGTACAGCAACAGGCATCCCAGTGCCCACAATCACCTGGATGGAAAATGGAAATGCTGTGAGTGTCATAGTCATGGAGACATGTCTGAAAGGAAGAGCCACTGTTGGTCCATTTCAAGGTGTTCTTATAGCTACCTTGATCTTTGTCATCGAGTCCATCATTACTGATATTTTCCAGCATCTTTGTCCTACAAAGACACTATCATAGAGACTGAACTGATCTACTATGATCAGGACTAGCAAAAGATATCAAATCTTTTCTTCATGCCTTTGTGTAAAATAAATGATACCAATTCCTTCTCACAGAAGTAAAGTGACTTTCATAAAACTTACTAGTAAAAAACTACTCACTGCTGGGAGCTACTTCGGAGAAGCATCATCATGAATTAGAATCCGTGCTTATCAGCTCAACATTCTTTTCTTTCCTTTAATAGTAATAACATAGCTAATATCTGTCAAATGATTATTTTGGGTAAAGTTTTATTCTAAGAACTTTACATTTAAGCTTTTACTTATCCAATCCACAAAGTATTAAACATCTGGGAACCTAACATTATTTCAGGCCATATGGATATACAAACAAAAAGGCAGCATTGTGTCGCGCAAACAGCTTATAGTCTGGAGAAAAATATAAGAAGATAAAATAAGGAGATGTGTAGATAATTGGGGAAAGACAAGGAAAGATTCTCTGAGATTAAATTGTACACGGTGTGTCAGAGAATCAGCCAGAACCATGTGACTGAGGGAGGGAGCAAGGTGGTAAGAAAATGTCAGCATTTTAGACCATGCACACGAGTACAGTGCAATGAAACAATCTGGCTTGTGATGAGATTACATTGTGAGTGTTTTTGTGCTGTTTTCCCTCTCATTCTTGTTTATTGTGTTTGGTTTCCTTGTATGCCTAATAGGATAGATTATGACTCTTCTCAACTGTGTGGTTACACACAAAGTGTAATTATGCAAGATCATGGATGGGTTAACCAGCTTGGTTATGGTTATTTCATCATGCATAGGCACAACAAAAGCGTCAAGTTTTAAATATAAACATACATATGTATACATGCATTTATGCTTTTATATATACATATAATTCATATTTCTTAGCCATACCTCACTAAACTAAAAATAAGTTCCAAGGAAGAATTTTGGTAAAGTCATGCTGTTCTCTGCTTATACCCAAATCCACCCCACTTACTCTTGTTTTTGCAATGTTGTTATCATTAAGAAGACTGATTGTAGCCCCAAAAGATGAGAACCAGGACACAAAACTGAGGAAAAGAAGGGGAGAGTTGGAGAAGAGTCCATCTGTGAAATTTTGATGTATAACATAAGACGGCAAAAATTCACGAAATTCTACGATTGCTCCAGTAGTAATGTCTTTCTGCATAGACATGACACAAGCTTTCAATTGATTTATTATTGCTGATTTCACACATATGGTTTATGCTGTAGGATTTTTTTTTCCTTTATAATACTTGAATAAGACTTCTATCTAAACTATTATTAAAATTGGTTCATTTTTGGATGGGCCTTTGGCATAGGCAGTTATGATGCCAGGCTGGAATGTCCAAAGCCCTGTCAAAGTACCTGGGTTTGAATTTCATCTCCATTCCTGATTCTAGCTTTCTGATAATGTATACACTGGGAGGCAGAAGGTTATGTTTTACTTGGGTCCCTGCTCTCTACATGGGAGACCTGTCAGTAACTGGCTTTCTGCTTTGTCCTGGGCCATTCCTGGGTACTGCAAGTATTTGAAGAATTAAACCAACAGATGGGAAATCTGTCCCTCTTTTTCCCTCCCACCAGCCCTTAACTCCTTGACTCTTGATTAAAGAAAAAAATAAGAAGCTTGCTGCTTATCTAATGTCCTTTCAAAAATGCAGTGACTAGACAAATGAAGGTCAATTACCAGCTGTGCAATGTGAAGCACTGAAGTATGAAAATTAGATGGAGAATTGGGAGGCTTCCGTCGTAAAGATACTTCTTTAGCTAATGTGATGCTGAGGGAGTTGGTCACCATTTAGACACTGATTTTTTTTTTTAATTCAACAATGAATACACTACCACAGACATCAGGGTTTACACTGCCTTAATTTTGTGAAGTTACTGTAAACTAACTTGGTGCCTACTCTTCTTTACTAGTCTAATTAGATTTCAAGCACGATTTTTAATTGCAGTATATTTAGCAATGTGTTTCACAGCTCTTCTGTGAATGCTGTTGTGGTTCTTCTAAGCCACTCAAGGTTGATATAATGATACCCTGAGGAAAAAAATCAAGAGACTGACAATATAACTAATTATTTGCCTTGTTGTGTGAAGAAAGAAACAAAGATGGAAAGACATAGACTTTTAAAACATCCGTGTTTTCGAAAGGTTCATATGTGCTTAAGAATAGAGCAGAGATGATGAATCTCTGATGGGGCCCAGAATTAAAAGAGGGTAGTTGGGGTTACTTCTGGCTTGATAGAGAGACCCAACTTAGTCCCTCAAGATTTGGCTCATAAAAAGAAGGCATAAAATAGATCCATCACCTCAGATTCTAAAACAGGAGTAAAATAAACTAACAATGATTTCCCTCCAGGAAGAAAGAAAAGTACACCCACAGTTCTTATGGTCAAAGAACATGTGCACATATTGCAGCCAAGTTCTTGGTAACACTACCCATGTCCAAGACGAAATCGAAATGACTTTGCCCATGCTGACGCAAATGGCAGGAAAAGGAGGCAATTTCAGGCATTTCATGTTTTCAAAGTTGCAAACCAGAAAGTCTGTTGAAGAGAGCAGGGGGATCCCACAGTTCTGATATCCTTGGAGGGGCTGAACCAAGACTAATGCAGAACTGGGAGAAAGTTGGCGCAGAATGAAACAGTTTCAACTGTGGCTTCTCACTAACCAGAGTTAGTATTCATTGCACAACAATGAGTACTGGAAGAGTGTGGATGGCCCTCTTCTACCCCAGGAACATGCCAGTTAACGAAATTCCTGAACAGTTAGAGACAAAGAGCAGGATTAGAGATTAAGACAGTTCTTACTTCCTGTGGAACTGTGATTCATTTCCATGGAATCTTGCAGTCACCGATGAACTGCAGAAGAAGTGGCAAAGTTCTTTTCGTCTAACAAAATTGGAAACAGCAGTTTGGTGAGGATGGAGCCAAGTTTACTTAAAAATCTTACTTGTGTTTTTAGCAACAAATTTAAAGTTACACCAATCGGTGTTTTTATTTAAACATTCAACTAAAAAGGTAGAAAATTGTATCTCTCTTGATTTGTCCAACAAATACAATTTCTTAAATATTTTATAATGTGGATGGATTATTTAGAAGATTTTTGTGAAATGGACAGTGAGTTTCTCATGTTGTGTTATTGAAGTTTGTTTTTTAAGGAAAGATCATTTATATCTTGTACATATTTTTGAGAGGTAGTATTTTTGGTTGAAAATACATAGTTTTAGTCATCTTAATTTATTAACTATATTAACTGAATTACAATGCAGTAAGTTGTAGGTGAAATAACTGAACACCCAATTTGAAAGAAGTTAATCCTGAAGGCTACCTTAATCAGAAGCAATGGGAACATGGTTCTCAATCTAAAAAAATTTTTTAATGATGTCTTGATAGACATTATTGCAACTTCATGATAATGGGTGCTACTGGGCATTACTTTGACAGTTCTACCAGACCAGCTGGACCTGTTTACAAGATAGGGCCACTGAGAGCAGAACACCTTGCAATGGTCTTCTTATGCCAAGGTCAAATCATGAGGTTACCAGATTATCCGGACTCTTTGAACTCAGTGTTATCAACAAACAAAAATATTCCACAGATCTAGTCAATTTTATTGCCTTAAGTATTTTCATACACCTTATCTCAGGCTTATTTTATGGCACCTATTTGATAGAGCTTCTTACTCTGCTACTCTGATTAAAAAGTTATTACTAATTTTATTGTAGAAGAGCATTTTGAAATGATAACAGAAAAGTAAAATGAAAACACAAGCTTATTTTAGTGCAGAAAAAAAAAACAGGAATTCATGCATAACTATTTCATCATATACATGCTGCATGAACTGTTTAAAGTATTACTCTTGAGTTTATTTAAGGCATGCAGCATAAAGCTTTGATACACATATTTGTAGTGAATTGGTTACTAGGTAAAGTGAATTAAAATACATGCTTAAGAAAAAAACACTGCTCCCAAGGCAGAGAACTAGGACTCTGCTCCTCTAGGTTACTATGTGTTTATTGTAAAGGCCAGATATAGTCATTTCAATGAAGTAGAGTTGTCCCTCGTGATCTGCAGGGAATGTGGTACCCTCCCATGCTGCAGATGCTGATGTGCATTATAAAATGGCATAGTATTTGCATGCGACCTCTGCACTTCTTTGCATATACTTGAAGTCATTTTTGGATTATCTACAACACCCCGTACGATGTAATTGCTCTATAAACAGTGCTGTATGGCCTAACAGAATGACAAGAAAAAAATCTAAATATGTTCAGATTCCCTTTTGTTTTCTTTTCCCTTTTAATATGTGTTTTGTTGAATCCACGGATGCAGAGCCATACATCCAGGGAGCTGCACTCTATCCCTTAGCATATCTTAGGAACACTCAGGGCACCACTCAAAGCTCTCGCCTTTGATCTTCTAAACCTGATGGCAAAAAGATCACAACCAAAGGCAAAGCATTGTTTTTATTTTTAGGTCATCAAAAAATACTAAGCTGTTGGCCAGGGTGATCCTTGTAGAAAGAAAAATAAATTCAGTGAACAGGACCTACTCTGCATGAGTCCCCAGCTGAACCAAGCAGGATCTCTGGGTAGGGAGAAGCATGTATGAACCACATCACAGTCCAGCCACAAGCCTCAACCTTGCTGGTCCCTTTGGCAAAGTATTTCAACACCTGGATAAGGCCCAGGAGAAGAGACTTCAAGCAGTTGGGGAAAAAAATGCTTCTTTTTCGATGCAAGGATGCTTTCTGTGACCTTGAGGACATGTTTAAGGATGACTTCTATGATGAACGTGAAGATAGTTGAGTGGGTAGGCCTGGTTTGGAGGATTGCTTGTCTCCAAAGCATTACACAGTCGTACTACGTCCCTAAGACTCTACTTATAGGAACTAGAGAGTGATTGCATGTATAAACAAAATAGGAAATAACATAAAGTATATCAATTGAACACATGGATTTTGAAGATTTATTTTTTTCAAACTGTCGGTTTGTATCAAAATTCAAGGAGAGTCCGAAATCATATTTTCAAATTGTTCAGCTCTTTTGACCCACGTCGGACCCTCATATCCATAAGACATTGCATCTTTGATAAGTATAATGAGAGTTCAGTTGGAATTTCTCTGCTAAGTCTATGTCTCAACAGTATTTTTCTCTTTTTGTTAAGTTTTGATAGACTCCAGTAGGCTTAGCTGGGAAAAAAGTTGTAATGTTTTATTTTGCCTTGGGAGTTTTTCCCGTTAAAGTCAATTTATAGTCACATAAACTAGTTTTTAACTTACAATTGAGATTAGAAATGAAAGTAAAGGCTGAAAAGGCAAAGATGCTAACCGAACCTTCTTTTACAGAATTAGTGCTTAATTGATGGCCTCGGTTCATCCTTACCGAGAGCAGCCATCCAGCAGCTAGGATAAAAGCTCATCTCACCCCAGGGATTCCCTCCTCTCTGTTGGTCTAACTGAACATCCTCTTTCATGAAAAAACAGAAGCAGAGCTGGCTCCACATTTCTCACCATCAGTCCTACTCCTTCATTCTGGACAGAAGTATCTCTTTTGAGACCTCCACATACAGATAACTATGCCACCCACATCCACTTCTCTGCCTGGTTTCCCTTGAAAAATTCTATTCTTATCAGGAGCTAATTCTTTCAGTGACATTCCTCTCAAATTTTCCTCAAACTACTATTATTCCCCCATCCATAAGGAGTTAAAATAAGTATTAAAAGATGATATAACACTCAAGAAAAATAATGATAAAAGAACCATTTTTTTGGAAGGCCATCTCCTTAACAATGACATTTGTTGTGTATTTATTTTTTTCATAGTTGCTTGATTGATTCACATTATTGTTACCGTTTTCTTCTGCATTGGGATTTTATTTGATCTTTCATCTAGGACTAGGGAAGGATTTGGGAACATGAGGACTAAAAGCATAGTCCCTGGTGTCAGATCAATTAGGGTGCAAATTCTAATTCTACAACTTAAAGCAGTGTTTTAGACAGCTGGAAGTGTCGACTGTGTGCTAATAGCACACATATTGTTGCTCTCTAAGGGCATTTGAGTGATACAACATTATGCATGTCACACCTCACTGATGGCTTCACATCCATGTTTTCATGATAACCATCGATGTGATTGATGAACGTGTATGAGGATGAGTCAAGAATTCTGAAATCAGCTCTGAAATGTGAAGTCCTAGAGGGCACATATTGGAGGATCCACATAGTATGTCTTTCATATTTTGTATCATTATTTATTGCTGTATCACAAATCACCCCTGTGTTTAGTGGATTTACAATAAACATTTATTAGTGTTTCCACGCCTGTGGATCAATTAAACGGTTTTGATGATTTGGCGTAGGACTGTCTGACTTTGGCAAATCCAAGATCTATGATTGGTAGGTAAGTGCATACTAGTTGGTTCAGAGTAGCCTTATTGCAATGTTCCATTGTTGATGTTGCTCTGACCTAAAGCAGTGAGGATAAATAGATCATGTTTGTTTTGTCTTTGAGAAGGCTGTCTCTGGCTTGATGAAAGAAATCCACATGTTCCAAGATCAATGAGGAAACAATCACAAAATGCCAAACATTTACAAGTCTGCTCATTCCAGAATGCATTATAAAGCTATCTAGATTCATAATGTGCAGCAAGATACACCCGCTTGAGACGAGAGCTAAATGTCACATTATGAGGGTATAGGCAGGCTTAGGCAAGGAACTTTTCTTTCCTGCTGTTTCTGCAATTTGTCACATGCTTTTTGATTATAACTTAATGTTTTTCCTACTAGTCTTTTAATAAGCATATTAAGGATTCCTTGATCTTGTTCTATCTTTTGTTTTCCCCTATCTCATCAGGTTTCTTCTGGATCCATTCAAGAAAGTGTGAAAGATCGAGTGATTGACTCCAGACTGCAGCTGTTTATCACCAAGCCAGGACTCTACACTTGTATAGCTACCAACAAGCATGGCGAGAAGTTCAGCACTGCAAAGGCAGCAGCCACCATCAGCATAGCAGGTAGCATGGCCATTCATGGCTGCATTGCTCCAGGCGAAGGGGGCATTGGCACGTTTCCACATATTACATTGGGGAAAACATTCCTTTTCTTTTATGTATTACCCTAGTCCCCTTGGGCTCCTTTGCTCCTTCATGGGCAGCCTACTCCAGAGGCAACCCAGACATGGATTTTGCCTGATTTATTACCTCAAACTGAAATTACCAAATATGTTCTCAAGTGATAGGTAATAGTTTGAAGGAGTTTATTTCTGCCTCTATCTCCTCCTTTCTCTCTTCCTGCTCTTTAACCTCCCTCCTCTCCTCTTCCCTCCCTCTTCCTGCCTTCCTTCTTTTCATCTTCCCTCCCTTCCTTCCGTCCTTACTGATTTTAGCACTAAGCATCGAACTTCCTATAGCTCTGGAAGAGTATATTGGCAGATGCCTTAATACAACGGAGTCAATCTCCACGTGACTTTCCCGAGGGCGTTTTTATAACCTATAAACATTACCCTTGGAGTTCCCCCCTTCCTGTTTCCTGCATGTGACAGGAGGACTTACAGGTATGTTCCAGGAAAAGAGCTGGCTCATGGATTTCTAGGATGTTTCAGTCAAGTCATAAAGATTTATTTTTAAAATTTAAATTCCTCAAAGGCTTCTGAGAACATTTATTGGATTCCTAGAGTTGAAACAACCCCTGTATCAGGAAGTGCCAAGCATGTTGTAGTCACAGTGTGCCTGTTGCCCATGGATCAGCAAAGAGGTGCCTGGCCTGACATGTAAGGCAAGCACTGGGAGAACCTGTTCCCAGGGCCAGCTCCCCAGAGCCTGCTGTTTCTTATTACAGTATTACTTCTTTGATCTTCGCTGGTGGGGAAGCTTGCCATAACATCTGTGACTTTTCTCATAGAAGGTTAGCAGAGGTCACTGAGAACTAGATAGGGTGCACTGGACAATGCTAGGCCTCTGATGGAGAAAGGAAACTCCCATGCCAAGGTTCCCTCTACCGTCTCCCTCAGGGATATCTGCCTATGGTGTTTGGAGTCATAGTAACAGTTGCGGGACATTATCTTTCCTGAGAACAGAAAGGCTCAATTGAACAAATTCAAACTCAGTTTTACAAGTAACAGTAAAATATTACTTTTATGTAGTGTTTTGCCATTAATAAAGCACTTTTACAGGCATTTATAAAATGCACCCGATGTCCTCCACTATACTGGGTATATTAATGAATTAAACCTAATTCATAAGTGAGTCCTGTTTTCTTTGAGTTTCCAGCCAAAGAGGAAAGTTACCCATCCACATATAATATGGTATAGAATGTATCCTACTGTAGAAGCAGAGACAGTATTCAAGAGCAGAGCAAAAGACAGGCGGGGATTTAAGAAAATCCTTGGGAAACAGGTTCCCTTCAGACATAGTTTATGGAGATGAAAGGAACAGGCTAAAATATTTCAAAAAAAAATTGTCATTGGCAAATCCAGAATATTATAGAGACAAATGAAGTAAAAAATAGGGAAGAAAGGGTTTAGATCGGGGCACTAGCCAGGTTATAAACAATCGGAGTATGTTTAATGTATTCTTCCACCAATTGTGGTTCATTTAATTATTTCAAAGGAAACAAGTGCTTTGGTAAGATAGATCCTCCAGCAAACTAACCTGTATCGGGAGTCGCAGGGTGGGAGGTGGAGCAAGCAGTTGGGAGACGCTTGAAGGAATCTGGAAAGGTCATCAAGGTCCGAGAACAGCAACATCAGTTAGTGCAGCTTGAGGACAGAAGCACGGGACCTGTCAGGACAGAAATCAGCTTGACAAGTGCTGGAATGTAGCAGTGGAGTCAAAGATGGAGTTAAGAAACATCTGAGATTTTGAGGAGTGGGATCTAGGACAACAATAATGTAAACCAAAAAAAAAAAAAAAAAACAAACACAAGTAGGGCCAGGAGATGGTTAAGTACTTACAAATTGTTATGAGTTTGAATTAGTTGCAATCATTCATCTCCCCTGTTTTTCCTCAAGATTTATTTGTTTTTATTCGAAAGACAGATTTTTGTATATTTAAATTTTTTAAATTTTAACACTGCAGTTCCACAGGCTCAGAGATTTCCCCTTCCACCCCTGCATTCCTCTGCTCCCTCCTCACAATTTTTCCTATGCTATTACAATAGTCCTTCAGCAAAATCACAAGTCCATCAAGTGTGTCATGGCATTGTGGATATAGACAATGCTAGAAAGTCCAGCATCCTATTGTCAAGGGTTTTTAACAGTTCCATTGAGAATTGAAAGGCAGATTTACAGAGGAGGAGGAGGAGAGAGAGAGAGAGAGAGAGACAGAGACAGATCTTTCATATCCTGGTCCATTCCCCAAATGGTGACAATGACCTCAGGTGGGCCAACATAAATTTGTGAACCAGGGGCCCAGTGTGGTAGCCTAGTGGCTAAAGTCCTTGCCTTGCACACACAGGGATTTCATATGGGCACCAGTTCTAATCCCAGTGGCCCTACTTCCCATCCAGCTCCTTGTTTGTGGCATGGGAAAGTAGTGGAGGATGGCCCAAAGCCTTGAGACCCTGCATCCATGTGGGAGACCTGGAAGAGTCTCCTGACTCCTGGCTTCGGATTGGCTCAGTTCCGACAATTATGGCCGCTTGGGGAGTGAATCAATGGATGGAAGATCTTCCTTTCTGTCTCTCCTCCTCTCTGTATATATCTTTCAATAAAAAATAAAATATGCCTTAAAAATAAATAGATAAATTTGTGAACCAAAAGCCGCTTCTTCTGGGTCTCTAACATAGGAATAAGGACTTTAGGTTTGGACTAGCCTCTGCTGCTTTTCCAGGCCATCTTTAGGGAGCTGGATTGAGAGGTGGAACAGCTGGGACTAGAACCAGAAACCCTGTAGGATGTCAGCACTGGAGCCGAAGAATTAAGCCTGCTGTGCCACCATGCCAGCCTCTCCAATGTTTTTTTTGGTTGTTGTTGTGGTTTTACCTTACAGATAAATGGAAACAAATTTATGTAATCTATCTATACCTGTGTCCCAAGGAAGCTAAAAGTGGGATTTGCATGGGTTAAGATGGTTGGAGTATTGTATGCAGGCAGGGACTTGCACAGAGTGGAATGCAGACAAACATTGGTCACCTCATCAGGGCAAGGGTCATGCAGTTGGCACCAGCAATGACTTGACCAACAATGATTCTGGAAACAGTAGTGGTACAGATGTCAGCTTTAAAGTGAGGGACGCCTGGGGACCCAGGAAGTGAGACTTTACCCACTCTGGAAAGGGTGTGTTTACACTTGCTGCCAAGGAGTCATCAAGAGACGTGAGCATAGGCAGAGCAGGCAGCAATAAAGAAGAAGTTAACCTGTAACTTGGGCATGGATGCTTGTCTTCTTGAGAACTGCATGAATGTTTACATTTGTCTGTGTGTAGAATCATAGTATGGCACAATGTTAGGGCTCAAGGGAGGGAGTACATTTTCCACCAAAACTTGTTTTTTAAAAAAGGAAAATATTTTAAAAATCTACCCTTTTTGGATATGAGAAATCAGAAATAATTCTATTTTCTGGGAAATCACTGCATATCTAATGTTATTTCTTGCTTTAATTCATGAAAGCTGAAGATCTATGCTATGGTTGGTGTCACTAATGAGTTGCAGATCTGCAAATCTTCCACTTTACCCAGCATTCCAGGAAAGATCTAGTAAGAGTATCACAAATGCCACTCAAGAAGTGCTCCAAGCCTCTTGAGGCATCTGCCATTCTTTCTTCTTCTCTTTGCTCTGTTCTTACCTCATGAAAGTCCCCATGGAATCATTAAGGAGTCACCCCCGAGACCTGCACTGCCCCTTGGACCTATACTCCAAGGATGAGGGTCACCTTGGGGAAAAGAGATATTAGAGCCACTTCAACTCGGGAGCACTTTGAAGGAGTATGGTCTTGTGCTTCCCAGATCTCCTCCAGCCCATGTATGTCATCTGCTTTGACTCCTGTCTCCTTAGGCCTCAGTGAGCTGGACAGAGGTCCAGAGCTCCAAGTCAAACACAGTTACTCCCCTTGCCAGTGTGGCAACACGGCCTTACCACAACAAATTCCTTTTCTCATTTCATTCAGCCCCATCCTCTCATTGTGTTCTACAGTCCTCTGCCCCCTCTGACACATGCCTCAAGTTTCACTTTGAAGCTTTACTCCATCTGTTTATTTACCTATCACAGCTGGAATACTGAGAATGGAAAGAGCTGATCCAGTGTTTGGGACTATGTCTAAGGATGTTTCTAGTGCCTGAAGAACAACAACAAAAAAATAAAGACCAAAGTCCTTGCTTGTGTCTGCCCAAATCTTTATGAATTGTCTGAGAAATGTGATATAATTCTTCCTGACTCATTTACATTTGCTGGTAGTCATCAGAAGAAGTCAGAAAAAAAAAAATCTGGAGCCTCTCCATAGGAATCAGGAAGTTGCATTTCCCCTTGAGTCACAACCACTGGAGGTTCAAGTTGTGATCTAAACTCACCAGATGCCAGGTATTTGGCAAGATGCCTTCCCTTTGTCATCAGAATCCTCAGCCCTGTGGCAGAGACCAACATGACAGACCATGATCCCTGCAATGAGCACAGCCTGAGACAGCTAGAGGCCATCAAAACAGACACAGGGCCTCGGAAAAAAGGAAACACTCTTGTATTTCCCTTTCCCAATGGTCCAAACAGGTTCTAATCAGGAGTGAGGCCCAAAGTTTGGCCTGTTATCTAGTCTAAAATGTAAAGATGAGTCTGTGGCCATACTGTTCCTCTACTGGGAGCCACTCCTACCTCTACCAACACTCTTATTCTACAATGACCCTGATAAACTGACTGTTAAACTCTGGAGCTTTGGTACAGTAAAGGCAGGCCAGGGACTTTGCACAGAAGTTAAGATGTCATTTGAAATGACCATAAGCCAAATACAAAAGTGTCTGGGTCTGAGTTCCTACTTCTGATGTAGCTTCCTACTAATCTCTTAGGAGGCAACCCAGTGAATACTTCATTG